TCACTTTAAACATTTCATATTTTTCTACCTTCTATTGTAAATAAAATGTGTGTTTGTGAGATTTGCAAATCAGTGCATTCATTGCATTGGTATTACCTTTTTGCACTTCATCCCAACAGATTTAACTCATCAAATTACTCTGACTCTTATGATATAGTATGAGAAATTACCCACAAAGCCTGTTATACCAATTTTCCACATATGCTGTAAAACTGTCAAAGAGCAACAAAACACTTTTATGTGAAAATTACAGTTAATGAGTTAAAGCTAAAAGTTAAACTTTTAATTATGACAACAACTTTCTGTTTCATAAACATCAACTACAGACCAAAATCAAACTGGATTAACCCTGATTACCTCCATAGATGCATGCAGTGCACTGTATGTGTGCACCTTTAGACGCCAAAAGCAGTCCAGCAATGAATATTGGAGAAATTCTGAAACAACTCCAGAAGTGCATCAAAATTATATGAGCATGAGAGTGCCAAGGGGAAAGGGGAAAATTGAATGGCATGTTTCTAATCCTCTGGGTGCCCTCCCTTGACAAAAGGTGTTACTTTTGCAAATAAAATGATTTCACTATTAATGCGAGGTGATTCATTTTGCAAATTGAAACTCAGAAGTAATCAGCTCAGACTCAGCTCATCTATGTGTCAGTGGATCTCCAACTTCCTAACTGGCAGACCACAGGCAGTAAGGATGGGCGGACATGTCTCAGCCTCCACCACTCTCAGCACTGGAGCCCCCCAGGGGTGTGTTCTGAGCCCCCTGCTGTACTCTCTGTACACATATGACTGCGTGGCCACTACCAGCTCCACCACCATCATCAAGTTTGCTGACGACACCGTCGTGGTGGGCCTGATCTCTGATAACAACGAGACGGCCTACCTGAAGGAGATTAGGAATCTGGAGAACTGGTGCCAGAGGAACAACCTCCTTCTAAACGTCAGTAAGACAAAGGAGCTGATAGTGGACTTCAGCACTAAGCAGGAGAGGAACTACCAGACCCCCGTCATCAACGAGTGCCCAGTGGAGAGAGTGGACAGCTTCAAATACCTCGGAGTTCACATCACGCAGGACCTGTCATGGTCCTGTCACATCAACACCGTGGTGAAAAAGGCCCGACAGCGTCTCTACCACCTCAGACGCTTGAGAGACTTCCAACTGCCCTCCAAGGTGCTCAGGAACTTTTACTCGTGCACCATAGAGAGCATCCTGGCGGGAAACATCTTAACCTGGTTCGGGAACAGCACCATGCAGGACAGACGAGCTCTACAGAGGGTTGTGCGGTCAGCTGAGCGCACCATCCGCTCCGAGCTCCCTGACCTGCACTCAATCTACAGCAGGCGGTGCTGGACCAAGGCCAGGAAGATCGTGAAGGACCTCAGCCATCCCAACAACAGACTGTTCTCTCTGTTGAGGTCAGGAAAGCGATTCCGCTCCCTGAAGACCAACACAGAGAGACTGAGGAGGAGCTTCTTCCCGCAGGCGATACGGTCTCTCAATCACACCACCACACAATACTGACCCACACATATGGTTCTTACACACACTGGACTTTCTGGACTTTGTTTTTGCACAACACTGGTCATTATATTCTTCATTTCCAGTTAATACTTGTACAGCTGCTGTTATTGTGTATATATTTATTTATATTTAGATTTCTTCATACATTCTTATATAGTTCTATATTGTGTATTTTGTTGTACAGTTATTTTATTTTCAACTTTAATTTATATATTTTATCTTATTCTTCCCAGTTAAATTTACCCTTCATTCTAATTTGTGTTGTACAGTTATTTCATTTTTAACCTTAATTTATATTTTATTCCTTCCTAGTTAAATTTACCCTTTTTAATTTTTCATATTTATTTCCTATCTTATTCATAGCCTTTCCTTTTTTGTTTTCTTTAGGTCACGAGCAGTTGTCCAAGCATTTCACTACATATCGTACTGTGTATGACTGTGTACGTGACAAATAAAATTTGAATTTGAATTTGAATTTGATTTAATCATTTGAAGCAGGGAACAGGGTAATTCACTCGTGAAGGCATGTTAAATATTTAAATTTTGACATTTTGATACATCTTTAATGGAAATAACATAACATCCAATATGACAGATTGATGATTTTAGACCTTTCAGCCATTTGTTTAACCTCTACCAAATTTACCAGCAAATCTGGATGGAAATGCTCTTTCTTGTAAGTTGTGAACCTAAATGAGCATTGCTGCAGTTACATAACCATTCTGTAGTGTTGTGCATGCATGCTCATTGCATTTTGCTGCCTGCAGTCAATCATTAACCTTAACTGTATTTCCACTGTGACCCCACCGTGCCCCTCAATCCCTCTCAGAATAGGTTAAATATCAATACAAAGGCTGATATGGGAGTTGCCAATGTGTCAGAAGTGGTGAAATTTAAAGCTAAGGTTCACCTTTTTATATTCTCTCTCTTCCTTTTTAAAATATCTTACAAATGTGTTATATACAATCATTTCTGTGTGCACTGCAGCATAAGCTGATGGGTTTAGCTCTCAGAAATGTACCACTCTGCTGCAGCCTCTCACTGGGCACACTTCAGAAGGAAAATGGTTAAGCCTTCAAATGCTATGTTAAATCTTCTTTTCAAGTATAATAAAGCATGTCTCTATATGTTCTATCAAATCAAGCGAGTACAAAGCTTGTTTTGCGTTTCAATTTTCTACCAAATTTGTATCTCTTTACCTTTATCTCCACTTGAGGTTGTGCAAAGGCAAGGCACTTAAACAATGCATTACAACCACATTTAAAGAATATTTGGAGCTTCTTCTTTTCAGAAGGAGATTTAGCTTGGTGATTAGACGTTAAACCATTTATCTATGCACTTATATTTAATATCTTCACATTTAGAGCTCTGCTTCACTTTAAAGGGATTTTCAGATAGTAAAAGGGTTTTCAAGTTTTCTGCAAATAAACCGAATTTCTTTTTTAAATCTACACACAAAAACTCACAATGACAAAGCAAAAGCAGTTTTATAAAGTGATTACAAATTTCTTTAACGTCAGAAGGTCTGAGAAATGCTGAATTAAAAAAAAAAGTAAAACAAGCCATGAAAACAGATTTAGAAAGAACTTTAGAAAGAGTTTCAAAACAAGTCATCATCAGCAGAGCATGGTAGTGTCTATTAGTCTCAAATGGCAAAAGGTCTCAACCACCAACTGTCTGTTTAGATCTGTCTACCCAGACTAAGAGTAATCGGGTCCTCAGTCAGAAAGGTAACAAAAAAGAAAATGAATGAGATCCACAGTTTGTTGGTAGTATGGACAGAACTGACTAAGCCATCCTGGAGGCTGCTTTCATTGCCCAGACAAAAGCCATTCCTCACTGAGCATGTCTCCATAACACCAGGAGAAGCAAAACCCTTTTTAAAAAAAATACAAAATAATGATCATTTTCAGTTGTGATGGTAACTGACAGGAGGGTTTGGGGCAGTTCCTTTTAATCTCACCTGTGTTTTCCATCCCAACTCGCTCTCTCACAGCAGCGTCTTATCTTCAATAACTGTTTCTTCCTGATTGCCTCTTGTTGCATCCACTCCCACAATAGCTCTAATTTACTTACTAACCTGATTCTGTCCAGGAGTTTCTTTTTAGTGTGGGATCTCTCGTATTAATGGAAAGCAATTTACTTTTTCCATGCTACTTTGTTATTGGTCCAAAATAAATGCTCCACCACAGGATATCCAATCAATTAACAACCTGAACAGAATGTGCAGGTCTATGATAGGCTCCTAATGTCATGATCAATTCTCCAAAAAATATGAATCAGAAAATCAGAAGTAATAAATTGGAAAAGAAATTTTGAAGCTATCAATTTTAACTCTAAGTGACATCACATGTGGGCAAAATTACACTGAGTTTTTTTTCCCTTCCTACTGATTTAGTTTCCCTTTTCCTAACTGTTAAGGGAACCGTTAAATGACTGATTCGGTTCATCGTTGCAGCCATCTGGGCTGAATCTACATCGGGATTACGTTAGAGTGAGGTCACCCAGCATGCTACCTAACTCTACTCACCTGGATCTAGGTACTGCATCATCCTCGGTTGGGCTTACAGGTTTCTAACACATTATGCAGTAGCTGTCGTAGTTTTTTTTTTAAGAAATCTTGCATACGTCTCACTTAATTTGTTTACTGACCACAGAGATAAGTGCCTAACTATAAATCAATCCATCCATTATCTATAAGTAAGGAATAATATGTTGTGGTTTAGTTTTCCCACATGTTACTGATGGCTTTTAAGTCCCCAGCAGTTTAGACTTCTTCTTCTCCTTAAGAAGGAATGATAACAACTGTTAATTACAAATGTATAATCTTTTGCTTTATATTTGCTCCTAAGGCTAAAAGCTGACAAACCAAGTTACAGCCAAGCGAGCTGAAATTAAACTATTGATTATCAAACCTATTCTCCACAGGCACAAAGATAAACAGGGTAGACCCTCACAGGAGGCCACACTTTGATTAGTTTTAAAAACTAAACAAAATCATTAAAGCGTTTTATTTTTGAAGGTGCAGTCTATTTGAGTGCACGCTGTTACAAGTGTATTTTAACTATCAGCGAAGATGCAATTAAAAAAAAAAGAAGTGTATTTTTCATCTCGTTGTAGTCGGCTCAGCAGTATGTTACCGTATATCTGCGCCTGCAAGGGTTTCCACCCACATTGAAGTTAACAAATGAGGCAGGGGTGAGAGTGGAGGAAGAGGACATGTCAACTGTCAAGTGGCTGTCAGGTTATGTAAAGGCAGGGCGAAGGCAGGAGCAGCGAGGACACCACGCTCAGTGAGCTGGAAAAAAATATGCGTCACAATCAATCTGCATTGATCCTCTGCAGTGGCATGATCTTCCAATATCCACTGAGTGTCAGAGGTACATGACCACTCACACCCGTGCATCTCTTCAAAGTCAAAAAATTAGGAAAAAAAAAGGAGAGAGAAGTCACTGAACACCTATGAAAAAAAAACCATGTTTATTTTACAAGAAGGGCACGTTTTCTGTACAAACTGTAAACTAAATACTGTAATTATTCAGAGGGTTATAATCTTTGACATCACTTTCATGAATGAACACCAGAACCATGTAAATAAATAAATATATAAATAGCCAGTGACTGTTGCATCCTACTGTAAATTATATTCCCACACTGGAAAAAACGTACAGCATGTAAGCTTGCTACACACATTAAGGATTTTTTTTTCAAGATAAAAAGCACTTGTGTTCATCACGACTACATTTTGAACATCATTGTACAATACTCAATCCCTGCAAGCCCCTATCCAAAAATACTGCCACTGAATTATTTTTTTACATGAAGCTCTGTCACTGAATCAAGGCTGAGGTAGGGACTCCATCATTACTCTAGACAGTTAAATAAGCTGAGACATCATTGTTGAAATGGCTCCACATTCCCAGGGCTGGGGAGTGTTGTTCAGCCCTGCGTCTGTTGCATCGCTTGGCCAGTCATTGGAGGAGATGGAGGAGGAGCGGGACGAGGATGAGGGATTGTGTACTGTCAGATTTGCTTAAGTTGTCATACATCATGTAACTACACTGATTGAGAGACTGTGTACTGTCAACTAAAGCTCCCCAAAGCAACTTGTAAGGCAGCCTAGAGGAAATGCTCCAGATCAAACAAAACATTTTGCTTGTGGGACTCTTGCCTGACATCGCCCTTCTCCAAAATCAAAGCAGTGGCAGCTGAAAAGATGAGTCACTGAGTTTACAAGGTGAAGGCTCAGGGGGCGGTTTACATGGAGCCATCATCTGAACTCTCAGCTGGAGGTATGTTTTCTATAAATGTCTACATACAGCATATACAAAAACATCTGGTAAAATGTGCGAATCCAATCATGTGGCATGAAATGGCAGATTAATCCCAGTCCCATTCAAGAGTACCCGCACCCACCCTGAATTTCAGCTTATAAAACACTATTTAGATCACAGCTTACTCTACAGTACAACCACATTCAGCCAGAAATAAGAATTTTGGCAAAAAATAAAATATTAATAATAATAATAATAATAATAATAAAGTCAGCAGGTGGGAGTTTAATTCAGCGCTTCAACTTAGATTAGAGGCAGGAAACAGTACGCGCACTCTATTTAATAATAAATTCAATCAGTGTTAACATGAGGGGTTGACTCACGAAGTTGACAGAGCCAGCCGAGAGAAAAGAGAAAGAGATGGAGAAAAAAAAAAAGGTGAGTGTGTAAAGGGGAAGGGGTGGGAGGGGCAATCTTCCCCAAGGCAGTTTCCTTCCATGTCCAATCCTGACAGATTATATGCACTTCATGTTTTATTGCATGTTTGAGTTGGCTTCTGTTTGACTAAGAGTGAATTTAGAGGAGCTGCTGCAAAGTGCTAAGCTGATATGGCTAATAATCTACAAAAGGCAAGAGCTGAGTATAATTGGGCCGAGTTACAGCACATTGTGGCACTTGAAATAGCTTGAGCACTTGTAAAATTGAGTTAATTCATTGTGAAAGATACCTAATCTAAACTGCACTTAATGAAAAGAAAAATCTCATTTTTTTAATAGATGGACACGTGGGAGGTGACAGGGAAGCAGAGAGGACAATGTGTTGCTTTTGTGTCACAAGCCAAGCCACATATTGAACTAAAAGCTTTCCCCCTTTGTTGCCATCTAGATACTATTGGATTTTCCAGAGCAGGAAAATCAAATGCTTCGTTCAAGACCTACTGCTTTCTATTGGATCGGTTCTTCCCTTCCCTGATGTGCGACAGTTTCATGCCTTCATGGACACAAACTGCATGCGATGGACACTCAAAGTGCAAAGTGCCTGAAAGCGTGCTGCTGAGCACTATTTCCCAAGGAATGCAGAGCAGAAAAAGACTATATCTATATTTGGCTCTGACAGTCATGTTTGCCTAAATACTAGATTTGTTTTAAATACTACATGAAACTGAAATATGTTTCTAGTGTATAGGCAGTGATCCCTATAAATAGATATCTGCATAACTTCCTAAACTCAACTTATTCCTTTATGCCCTCTGTAGTGGACACACAAATCTCAAAAAGTTAGACTAAAAAGGCGTTTTTTTTCCCTTCAGTTCTCAGGAAGATATGAATCTGCAGATATCTATTTATGGTAGACCCTAACAGATATCTATACAGAAAAGGCTACGTGAACCTTTCTGGTTTCTTGTTTGTCGTCCTGCTCTGTAGCACTTTTGACCAAACACGTGTGAACAGCTTGCGGTTGCATGTAGGTGCACGCTCCACATGAAGAGCTGTCATCTTTTGATGATTTAGTTTTATATTAGCTTCTTAAAATGAAACTGTATTGGCAAATGCAAGGCCACTAAAAAAAAAAAATCACCTGTTGTCTCCTAGGTTAAGGTAGCAGAGTAGTCGATTGGTTCTGTGTCAGTCAAGCCAATGAATAGGCTTTAATCCTTCTCTCCCTATAGTTTCAGTTGTATGCTTGAAATACATAATTTCTTACTTTTTGTTTGCTTAGTTTTGCTACTACACTCTTAAGTGATCGTTGGCATTGGCATGCACTGGTATAATCAATACTATCTTTTAATGTAGCTAAGGCTAACTAAGATATTAGCAAAGTTCAGACTGATTTAGTGCTAAATTGGACCTTATGGAGTCAGTCTAACTGGTGCAAAAAGCAGAGCTGTTCAAAAACATGACAACGGGAAATGGATGGCAGCACATCAGAAGCACTCACTAATGAAAACTGTCTTATAAGATTTCTTACTTCCACAGTCCTACATAAATTATAATTAATGTTTAGTTTTCAAATTTAACTGCGTTCAGACTTGACTCTGCACAGAGAGATACTGTCAAGCTGCAGAACGAGCAGTTTACAAAATCATATATCTGCAAGCTTACAAAAGGTCAGTAAAAGTCACTTGCATTACGGCTGAGTCGACTTAGTAGCTGCTGCTCTACCCTCTCTGTCCAAGTGCAGTTTTTAGTTTTACACATTTACAATCTTTTTTTAATTATGGGCTGACGGCATTTGCCAAGAATAGAATCACAAGCACCACTTTAAATGGATGGTGGTGGCGGGGGGAGGGGGTTAAAACGGAGGGCTGCCAAAAACAATGGTGCAGACAAAATGAAATTAAAAAGAAGATACGGTGCAGGTGTGAAGGACTAAACTAACAGGGAGAAGAGTGGAGGAAGGAGAGAGGCGCTTGGCATTACTCAAGAAATAAGGGCAGCGTGAAAGGGGGAAGGGGATGAGAAGAAACTCCAAAGAGGTTTCACTGAAGAATGGATGACGGCAGGCAAAGCCAATGAAAACAGGGAGTAAGGAGTAGAAATGGAAGAAACTTCAGGTCAGTCCCAGCTGGCTGAAGAAAGATCAGAAAAGGCAGGAACTTTCTCCATTTCCTCGTCTCTTTCTCTCTCAAGTACACCTCATTTGGATAACAGTGGGTGATGCAGAGGTGGGAGGATGAGTTAAGAATAAAAATTTTTGACAATTTGGCTTACAGCATCAAACTCTGTTGTTGGTTTTAGTTGTAATCAGAACAGTGTTACTTTGGTATCAGTATTTTTTGTTCTTACTTCAAATAAACTGCCACTGGAATTTAGCGATTTTGCTTTCGCTGTCATTAGAAATGTGCTAAAGGAAAAAAAACTGCAATAGCTGACTAACAATACTGTAGCAAAACCAATTTACCCACTTTGTTTGCTTTTTCATGAAACACATACAAAGCACCTACCTACAAGATATTTTACTAATACTATATTTTCTCCCACTGTATATACTGTGTTTGAATCCCTCCAGAATAGTGTCATCACTGTACAGTATACACATGCAGATGTATACATTTTTGCAAAAACTAAAAAAATGTATACATGTGCCCATAGGTAGTATTCTGCTGTTAATATTCACATTATCAACATTTATCATCAAATGTGTCAATGTCATCAATAAATGCTGAATATATTTTGCAGATAGTTATATCCAGGATAAAGTGCCTGTACTTTAAAACATTCTGTAGGTTTTTCATGTAGGTTTTTTTGACAGTCTTAAGGACTTGTATAACACACTCACTGGTTTCTTGTTCCTATAGACATGTGTCTCTGCCGTTTGTTTTTGCTGTCCTCCTGTGTAATCGTTTCTTGCCTTTGTGCATACGTGCATGCCTCACTGAATTTCAATGCACCTTTGCCTTTTCTCAACATGTCACGGCTTTGTGCTGTCCGTTCTGTGTTATGGGGTTGATCTTTTCCAGGGTGACTTCAGCATCGCTGTCTAAATTCCCAGAGATGGCCGGTGAGTGTTTCTCAAGGGTGTTGTTTGCCACGCCCACCTCGGCCTCCCCTCCACTTCCGTCTTTCTTCTGTAATTCCTCCTCCTGACACAGGATGCTGTGAGGAATCACATAGTTTGCTGAGCTGTTGCCCTCCTTTGGGATGTGGCTCTTGGGCTCATACTGACAGTTGGGGTTCGAGGTAGGAGCACCCATATTGTTGTTAATACTGACGATCTCAATGGCGTTGCTCCCCGGGCACAGCCGATGGCAACCCAGGAGGATGGAGAAGGCCTTGCGGAAGTCGGCATTGAAGGCATAGATGATTGGGTTGAGCGAAGAGTTTGCCCAGCCAAACCACACAAACACATCAAAGGTGGTGGAGCTGATGCAGGGGAATTCTGTGGATCCATCTGGCATGTGTGTTTCACAGAATGGAACCATGCAGTTTAGGATGAAGAAGGGCAACCAGCAGCACACAAACACACCCATAATGACAGAGAGCGTCTTTAAGACTTTGGTTTCTCTTTTGAATGACATTTTAAATGAGCTCTCACTGTCCATGTTTGAACTGTTTCCCATGCTGCTGTGTCGGTTTTTGGCACTCTCTGCTGCTCGCTCCAAAGCAGATATTCTCCTTATCTGTGTCTGGGCGATGCGGTAGATCCGGGTGTAGGTGACGATCATAATTGCCACGGGGATGTAGAAGCTGATAAGGGAGGAGGAGATGGCATAGGTCCTGTTAAGACTGAAGTCACAGTTGTCAGGGGGCAAATCATCAGGGTAGGTTCCATTTAGCTCGACATAGCTGGTGGTCTGAGCTTTGTGCCAGTTAAGCTGAACAGGAATGAAGGAGATGAGGACAGACAAGGTCCATGCCACACTGATCATCAGACACGCTACTTTAGGGGTCATCTTGCGTTCATAGCGGAATGGGCTTGAAATGGCCCAGTAACGATCGACACTAATCACACACAAGTTCAAGATGGAGGCAGTGGAGCACATTATGTCAAATGCCACCCACACGTTGCAGAATGCACCAAATGGCCAAAACCCCACAATCTCTGTCGCTGCCTTCCATGGCATTACCAAAATAGCTACCAGGAGGTCAGAGATGGCCAGCGAGATGACAAAGAAATTGGTGACCTTCGACCTCAGGTGTCGGAACTTGGTGACGGCAGCGCACACCAGGGTGTTGCCTAGCAGCGTGGTGAAGATGAGCAGGGAGAGAAAGCATCCTGTCAGAACACGTTTCGAGGAGTCTCTCTCTGGCGTAAGCTGCTTTCCATCTCGAACCGTTGAGAAATTCTGATCCATTGTTTATGTTACAGTTTTAATAAAGAGAGAGGGGATGGGTGAGGGGGATGTCAGCAGTCACCCCATCACATCCCCAGCCTGCAGCAGCTGTGTTCCTCCAAGGACGACTCTTAGACGGAGAGCGTAGCTGGTGGAGAGGTAAATTGTCTTGGCACCAGCTCTCTCACTGACTGGGTCATCAATAGGTTCCTTGTCACAACCACCATTCTTGCACAAGGGATGCTATAAATATTTCAAAATTCTCTCCTCAGGAATGTTTCCCTTAAAAATCTCTGGTTCATAAATTCCTGCAGCAGCAGCACAGAAGGCAGACATTCTAGTTTGCAGAGGAAGAAGAATATTCCAGCAATTCGCAATTGTTTTCTTTTTTTCAATCGCAAATTGAGTCCTAAAAAAATGAGTAAAGCAGCAATAAAAATGAGTTTTAAAGACAAGTTCTTGGTCCCTTTTCTCTTGGCATTGTATGCCTCAGCTGTCAAGCCCTCAGCGAAAAGTTTCACAACATACTGTTGCTAAGCTTTTGAGTAAACAGAGGCTCAGCCAATCATTAGCCTTATATACCACCTCATCAATAACTTCTATTGATGGTTTTCGCACCGCGTTTATCTGATTTGTTTAATGATCTGCGAGGCGTGTCCCTGTGATTGTCCCAGTATCGACGCTGATCCAACCGACTACTAGGTAATGTCCTCTGTGTTATTCTTTTTAATTTCTCTTTAAACGCTCCTCTCTCCTAGTAAATGGCACGGTCCCCAGCTAAACATAACACCTGAGTGTTGAGGAAAAATAAGAAATAAATAAAATAAAAATGCATTCAAAAGTCTTAATGATGCGTTTTCAAAGAAGAGAGATGCAGATTAAACGAGAAAACCAGAAAAAAAACGCATCACTCTCGCAGCGCTTTGTATTCTGACACGATGCTTCAATTCAAACGCGTTTAGTTTCCTTTTGGCTGAATTTTGTAGCAATTTACCAAAAGCCTTTCATCCTTTAAAGTGCAGAGTTTTCATCCGGACATCAGCCCAAATCCCTGGATTTGAAATAAAGGCTCACTTCATTTATTTATTTTATTATCATTATTATTATTATTATCGATTTTTGTAGACAGCGTTTGCTTCGCTCTTTGGATGTGGATAGCTCCGGGCAAGTTTTAAGCGTCTTGGGTTAGCTTTGAAAACAACTGAATCCAAAACGAACCAATGAAACCATCCGTTAATTTTTAACTAATAAAAAAAAGTTCCGTTCCGAATCCACATTTCTTCGGTATACATCCAACTTGTATCTTGGTAGTGAAGGAGAAGGAGCTCACCCTCTCTGCGCGCTCCTCTATGCCAAGAAAGTCACGCTCTCCCTTTTTGCGGCGTTTCCTTGGGTGTTTAAATGAGTCTTTATGCTTTTCTTTTTGGGGGCCATCCTTTGTGATGCAACATTCAGATACACTGCGATGTGTCTTCGGTGTGACTGGCAAGCGGAGAGAGATAGGAATGACTCTGGTCTCTCCAAGAGCGTGTTTCTACGCGCTCCTCTCTCTCCGCTCAGCTGCTGCTGCTGCCTGCTGCTGCGCACCACGGTCCCTGCCACAACTGCTCCATCTATTCAAGCAGGATCAGAAGGGTAAAGCTGCACAAATTCAGCCTATACTGCACACCGTTTGCTACTGAAAGTGTTTAACCAAATAATTTACGGCGACCTTTATGATTGTGAATTTATAAGTGTCCGATACATGCAAGGCTCATTCTGAAAAAAGAGAGAGGGAGTGCGTGTATTCTCTGCTCTCCAAATTACGCGGATTTCTGTCTTTGAAGTTACGCATTTGAATTTTGGTGACTCTTGTCTTACAGTTTTTATAAGTACCTGAATTACTATTTTACACTAGGCTACCATTAACTGTGGCATTTTCAGCTTCTTCTTCGTCTTTTTTTATCACCTGCACTTCACCTACACAGACCTATAAAAAGCCATCACTACCATAAAGTCGCGAAAAGACAAGATGAGCTATAAACGAATCTACCGCGATATCCTGGGATGAATTTGTAGCCAGCAGACACACAGAGGCACAATGAGGCCATCTACAGGATACAAGACTGCAGGAGGCTATGTGAGAGTGGGAGCCGACAGACTGAGCCGCAGCGTTGCATTAACGTCACCTCAGTAAACATGAATGACCAACTTTGAATTAAATTAGGTTCCCAGGAGCCGTGCTGCAGCATGAAGAGCCATAAATTAAGAGAGGTACAGAGTGTTGGTGTGTGTGTGTGTGTGTGTGTACTTCTGTTTACTATGGGGACAAAATCTGTTTATACTGTCAGCTGTGGTGAACCCCCCGCCCCACCCCCCATTTTGGGACAAAAAGCAAGTTCCCATAAAGTAAAACATTAAACCGAAAAAGGTTTAGATTAAGTTTTAAGTTCAAGAAATAAATATAAGCCAAAGTAATGTCCTCTGAAGTGATGTTTGTATGTGAGTCAGTGACTGAGAGAGAGAGCGAGATAGAGATGTGTACTACTCAAGTTATGCTATCATGCCACTGGCTGCCTGACAGGCTTGGCCAATTTGAATATTAACTATTTAGCAAGATGAAATCCTCAATGGACGCCCTCTCACTGTGTGTGTGTGTGTGTGTGTGTGTGTGTGTGTGTGTGTGTGTGTGTGTGTGTGTGCGCGCGCAAGTATGACTGTGCTCATCTGTGTGGGGGTTTGCACATGTGCATGTGTGTGTATGCGTGTGTGAAGTGAGTGAGTAATGCATGTAGACAAGCCAAGTGTAAGAGGCCTAGCAGACACAACGCCCACATTTCCCCGTAGCACAGAGCCAGGGTGTGCGTGCAGCCGAAAAAGTTCAAACCAAGACCATGTCACACACAAACAGAAACACACACACACACACACACAGTCTCACTCATTCACTCACACAAGACCAACCATGCAATGGAATTTACGTCTGCTCCAAAAAGCAAATAGAATAGAATAGAATATGGTTTTCAAAATTAAATTCCAGTGGTCAATTTTTCTCACAAGCAAACAGGAAATGTAAATAATATGGTGCCGTTTAAATGAATATGATGATTCACTTTATGGCTTGTTTGTAATCTCTGTACATACAACAGCACACAGTTCAGTTGTAATCGTCAAAAATCAATTTAAAATCAGTCTTGCTTTTCAAAGTCAGCAGCAAAAGTTGCATGAGGTCAGCCGTTTCAAAAGATATGAGTACTATAAGTACTGTGTTTTCTAATGAACTAGCATTGCAAAACTTTGCATGACTTTAAATGACACCACAGTGAAAATTTGCCATTGTGCTGGCCCTCAGTTATTCCTAGAGGCAATGATTTGGAGGAGATGATCTAAAAACTGTCCAAAAAGCTTCTCATCATGACTCCACGGTCCATGCTAATATCTGTTGGGGGCTTTCCAAGCCCCATTTAAAAACATTACCACAATGCATGGATTCACCCATTCAAACCAGGAAATATCAAACAATTCAAGTTGTCAGGAGGAGTAGGGGCAAAAGCGATGAGGGAAAACTCAAACTACATCTTTAACGCTCATTGCAAAACATTTGACTACTGAATAAGATTCACAAAGCAGCATCTTACACATGCATTAACATCTGTATGCATTGCTGTCATGAAAAACTAGCATCAGGACATACATGATGCCAAGCTGCATAATCAGCATCACACAGATGACTGTATATTAAAATTAGCCATTGGACGCTAAACAGGAAGTTCCTATAGCTTCATTAAAATATAGCTTTTTTTTTTTTACATGACTACTTATATAAGAGACTGTCTGGTGCCTGGTTTCCTTTCTCTAAAATAGAGAAACTAGTAATTACTGTGCATAGCCTTGAAATGCTATAATCATCTGTCAAGTGTGTGCAAAAGCTCTGTTCTTCCTTGCAATCTATTCAGCCTTCTATACAAAACAACGTCTTTTTGAATCTGGGAAAAAGCTGTCAGTTGATACTGATAGCATGTTTCATTTAGTTTTGAATAGTTTAGCATTTAAAATTATTAGGGGCATCCGGTACCCATCTGTAACTTAGAGTCCAGCAAGCAAAAGTACAAAAACAGGTAACATGCATCTCTCAAAAATGTGGTCTTAAAAAGAGCAACAATATTTATTCCTCTTGGCCCAGCCAAACCACCGACGTTTGCTGTTGGAAACGATTGCATTTTAAAAGCACATTGTTTTCCTTTGTGGTTTGAGAAATTCACTTTAAACACTGATAATGAAATATGAGTAATGAAAAAAAGAAAATGATGACACTTGCGTCAAGTTGATGCTTGCATTATGACACAGTTTTTCAAGCCTGTCAACAGCATTAGATAATTCTCTGTGAAATGTCCAACTGCAAATAGAATTTAAAAACAAGACCTGTCAGGCATTTCTGATTCATGCTTTTCCAATTCTTAACCGACATACAAGGCATGGAGGAGCTTGTATGTGTTTCTGTGTGTTTTCATATGTGTAAGGTGACAGGAGACAGAAAGTGAGATAAATGAATATAACACTAAGATTGACCCTGTCTTTGTCACACACATTTTCACTCTTTCTTCCTCTCTGCCCTGCTCTAAATCCTCCGTGTCGGTGTGACATCCATCAGGTCCCACAATCTGCTCGTGAAGCCTTTAACCTCCCAGACCCCCAGCTTGAGCAAAATGTTGTGCACTAATCCCACCACTGAGATTTACCATTTTACACGCATATAAAAGCTGGTGTTACACTCGACTATAACTGCATAATTATCCTCACTGTGGAAATCTGAGGTCTGTCTAATCTGTCTAATCAACCTATACTGTTTTTGCATCTGTGCATTATAAGTTTATGACATCTTTTCACGCATCAGGAAACTGAAAAGACCTCTAAATGACCTCACTGAGCCATTAGGCCCTTAATTACTGCTTTAAATGATTTCTCTCAGAGCTAAAAGGGTACTTATTTACACCAAATATGATAATGAGGACAGGTGAAAGCAAAAAGATGGTATTCTTGCATGATCAAAAAAACCCAGAAATTATTATTAGCTGATAGGCTTCAAAAGTCTAATTTATAAAATGTAAATTTAAAACATTTATATGCCACATCTTATTTACAATTGTATTTACTTTGGTGGAACAACTTCAATGGATACCATTATAATCAGGCAAGTCTTACTATCAAATGTATAATGCAACCTGTTGAGATTTTCTGTCCCTTTCTTCTTCTCAGTCTCTTTTGCCTCTTCCTTTATACCCCAGGATAAAAGAATCACTGCATCAGGACCATCTGTCTGCACTTTCATTTGCTAGAGTAGGTTTATAAAGAAGGGGAAGCATCAGTCATGTAAAAGGTTAATCTCTAAGCATTCTGCAAACATATTTAGATTACTATTTTGATATAATGCAATGCTAATCCCTTTACTCTAACATTAAGCGTCACAACTTAATGCCTCACTCCAATTTTTTACCTTATCCCCAAAACCAAGTGTTACGCTTATTGTCTCTGACTCAATCTCATGAAGCCTTTATGGCTATCTGTGTCATGGTACCGGGTCTATGACTCTGTGTTTCTATGTTTCTTATGTTCTTATTTGGTATCGTTTAGTTCCTTGTTCTTCCTAGTTTATCCATTTGTATTTCTAGTTCTGAGTTTCTTGTTCATGTAGGTTATTCCATTTTGTTCCTGCCTGCATAGTCAGTCATGTATGTTAACTTCTATCTCCATGTTGAGTCATCTGTTTCCCAGTCATGTCTCTCGCGCCCTCTGTTCCCTCTATTCACTCAGTCCGTGTCTCAGTGTGTTTCTTGTGTTTCCTGTTTTATTTTGGTAGTCCCTTGTCCTGTGTTCACTGTGTTCAGTTTTGCTTCCTTCCTGTTTTATTGTGTCTGATTAGGTGCAGCTGTTTTCCCTTGTGTTTCCCATCCTGTCATTAGTCGTTAGTCCTCTGTCTGTGGTCATATTGTCCCTCATTGCTGTGTGTGTTTCTCTGTGGTCCTTGTTTGGCTCACAGCTCCTAGTTCTTGTTCCCAGTTTAGTTCACCCCTTTGTGTTTTGAGTTCTGCATTTGGGTCCTACTAATGCCTGCCACGCAGCTACATCGTGTGAATCTGACAAAGGATTTCAGAAAATGCTGATCTAATGAGATTTTCCAGTACACCTATCTCTTGGGTTTACAGAGAATGGTCTTAAAAAGGACAAAGTATCTAGTGAGTGGCAGTTCTGAGTGGTTAGAGTAACAGGTTTCACATGTTAGCGCATTTAAAGTGAGAGAATTAATTCAATTTAAATACAAAAATGGAGTAAAAAATGAAAAACAACTTCACTTTCAGTACATTTTTCTTGTTGCACTTTTGTTTGTTGCACTCTATCAACCAGTGATATGACTTTTACAGAAAGGTAAGCACATCTCAGAAAAACAGGGTTATGTCTTGATTTAAAGAAAGTTTATTATATCACATGTTTACCAAGGTAGTTA